AGCAGTCAGGAAGTTATTTTGATGGAAATATTTAAGAACATATAAGAACAGCAGTACTTGGTGAGGCCAGCAGGCAGTTCAGTCCAGTGTATTAGCTCCGCTATAAGCATCTGTTTAGGGACATCTTTAAAAACAAGATGGCAAGCACAGAGGGATGCTTCCCCATATAAACTTCTAGCTCCAGCAGTTTATGAATCAAATGTTTTTGAGCCAGATAGAGTCGCTGCTTTTAATAGCCAACAGGGTTTTTATCTCAAGAATTCAGTCCAATTTGATCTCAGTATCTCAGCAGTCCTCATTGCTGCGGTGCATACGATAAGGTTTGAGGTCTTGTTAAAAGATTTGTAGAAATTCCCAGAATTTCTATAAATGATACTGTCAGATTTTTCAAATCAGGATGCATGAAGCCTGTATACATAATTGCTTTGCCTTTCTTCCATGTACTGTTACTTTGATTACAGATATAAGTAGCTACTCAGAGCCTGGCTTATTCTTTGTGGCTACAGCTGCCTCTTGTGAAAGAGGCATATCAACCATATCTGGAAATATAGGCATGAAGTTTTGGGTGGATCTAGCTTTCTAGATGAGAAGTTTGCTCCATTCAAGAGAGTAAGATTCATCTTCAATGGAAATCACATACTGAAACTATTAATCTCTGAGTGTGATTCAGAGTTAATGCTGATATCCTTAAATAACAGGTGCAAAATTATGTGGGTTTTGTATATGTGTGTGTTACATAGTTATATACCTAAACAGCTCATTTGTGGATGGTAAGCAAAAACTTTGGGGTAATTAGATCACAGATTCACTCTGCTGTGGAAATGATCTTGATATCAAAGTGATCAGTTTTATTTCTGTATGAACAAGATGGATGCAGTTGTGTGGTTGTGGTGTCTGTCCAGGAGTAACATTTGCATTCTGGATCTTTTCAGTACTGCAGTGTAACATGTATTGATTTCTTTGGGAATTCACTTTGGACACAGTTTAATAACTGTTATTTTCTTCTCTAGATAAAAAAGGTTGCAATATATCTATGTCGCAATAACACTATTCAGACAATGGAAGAGCTTCTTTTTGAGCTGCAGCAAACTGACCCAGTGAACCCAATAGTCCAGCATTGTGATAATCCTCCATTTTACCGTTTTGCTGCCAGTAACAAAGCTTCAGCTGCAGCTTCTGGTATGACCTAAATATACTTTTCAGTTATGCTCTCCTGCTCTTTTGAGTCTTCATCTCTTTGAAAAAAGAGTCTCTTACTTTTGCACCCATTCAGATCTGTGTATATATGAAGTGCAAGTTTCAGGGCTTTGTTGCACATCTAAATTACAGTTCTTTTTGATTCCTAATGTTGTATAAGCTTTGTAAATATATGCTTAATTCTCTCCACTATTTTAATAGGATATTACCAATGTTTGGTGCTGTTCAGAACTCGTGTGAGGTGGTGCTTTTACCACTAGTTTCTCAGAACAAGAAGTCATCATCAATGCTGTGGTCACAGCAGATACACCGAGGCAGCAGAGTTTCCTGAAAACTGAGACCCTTAAGAGACACCAACCCCAAATTTAACCTTGTCAATGTTTTGCCAAATTCTTGAAAAACAATAGGTTATGTCACCTGAGAATGAGCTTAGTTTAAGGAGTGGAAGGGCATCGTTATGTTAATCCACCCCTCAAAGCATGTAAACTTTCCAACATTCAGCCATGCAAGCAGGTCCTGGTTTGTAGAGGTAACAGTGTTCATTCATATGTGCAAGTACTTGCGGCATGATCACTTTGACTGTGGCTGCTAAAAAAAATTAAGTTATGGGCTTTTATTGCTTTTCAAATACTGTCTGCTGCATGTAACAGGTGTTCTTATTGACATCTCATATACAGGAACCACCTCTAGCAGTAACACTGTTGTAGCTGGTCAAGATAGTTTTCCTGATGTAGAGGAGAACAGAATGGTGAAAGAGACCGATGAAAGGTTTGTGGTTTGTGGGTTTTTTTCTGCAAAATGTATGTGTTTTCCTAGGCTAAGGGTGAGATGCTGGGCAAAGTTCTGCATTGTTTTGTGAGGAACTCTGATGCTGAGACAGATCCTAAGTGGCATTATCCCAGTAAGACCATCTTAAAATGAGCGTATGTAAAAGTTTAAAAAAAAAAGCTAGTCACATGATTGTAGTTCCTGACTGTCGTTTAATAATACATTGCAGAGGAACATGTGTTAAACCTACATTGACTGAATTGTGCTAAGTAGATCACGGTTTTGTAGGAATTACCACAAAGGAGAAAGAAAATCGAGAGTGTGTACCCAATAATGACTACTAAAATCTTTATGAAAAATCAGGTTTGATCACAGCTTTTGATTTCATGGACAGTAAAATTTAGTATGCGGATTTGTATCCATGGTTGCAAGGACACCTCCTTTGTCTGGATAAAATATCTTACAGAGGAAAGCTGTGTAAAATATTTTGCTTAGAAATCATACATTCAATTTAGTGTTTTGCTACTTATGGTACATACTGACAAATGATGAATGAATAAATGCAAAGCTTAAGGGCCATCAGATCCTTGAGCACAGACAGATACATGTTTTTTCTCTTACTGAAACCCTCTTATTTTTGTAAGAGAACTTTGACTTCTAATAGCATTAATTAGTAGGTGTATTAGTATTACGTTAGTCTGTTGTTCCTGATAGTCACTAGTGTCACTTCAGTAGTCCAACCCACCTTCCATTGAAGGCTTAGAGGTACAGTTATGTGAGCAAACTTTTCTGTACTTCAGAATCTTTTGAATTGCTTGCCTTCTACCTGTTATAAACGAGTAGCATTTTGTCAGGTTAGTTATGTCTGTCTGCTAATTTAAATGTAAGTAAAAAATGGCACTCAGTACTAAGTAAGGTTTCAAACTGATAGTAAAGAGGACTCAAAATGATGGTTTTCAGCATATGCACTAGAAATATACTTAAAAGGAAGAGAAAGCCATTTTTCCTCTTGATTATTTTTTTATTCTTTAAATAAATGTTTATGGCTATATAGTTTCAAGTTAGATTTTTGTTTAGTTGATTTGCAGATAAGTTGAGCAAACTTCATCTCCTACTATACTTTAAATCTAACAGTGTGTTCAGGGTTTCTTGTCTGTCTTACATAAATTTTAGATGTGACTCCAAAAAGGTTTTTGGCATTCTAATCTGCCAGAGACTATATGATAAAAATGAAAGTTCTGATATTGGTATTCTGATTCCTG